CTTATGAGTTGTTTCCCTCTGGAATTTTTCAGCTCTGTGTTCAGGCTGCAGTTGACGGTGGGAAACTGAAACTGTGGAAAGCTAAACCGTGGAGGAGGGGAGGCGGGGTACTGTTTTGAAGTTAGCCCTCTGTGGTTGCCTTATTTTCCTCATCTCCCTGTTAAATTTTCACTTCCCACTCTTCTGCCAGTCCTTTGCCTGCTGTCGCAGGATTGTAACTTCTGGTGACCTTCAGCACCGGCCCTTCTGTTAGTTTGCCTGTGGCAGTGCTCCTGTTCCCATCAGTGTCCCCAGCGTGGAGCCCTTGCTCCTTTGCCCCAGGTGAAGTAGGAAGCCCCTGGGGGTGAGAGGTTTTGCATCTACAGCTTGTCCTTCACGGTAGCTTTATTGCAGAAGTGGAGCAGAAGAGGTCTCAAGGACAATCCCAGGTTAAAACATCACCTATAAACCTTCCTACAAAAGTGTCAGTAGTGTTTTTTGAATAAACACTTCTTACTTTGTTGTATGGCTGCGGTTGGTTCCTATAGAAAGCCTGTCAAGTTTATTTGCTTTCGGGACGTGGATTTGCTCAGGTCCTTACTCGGTCCTTCTAGCAGGTCCACAGTATTATCCTCCTCCTATCCTGCAAAACCGAGGTCCAGAGGGAACTGCCCTGTGGGCCAAGTCAGCATGCAGAGTGAGGTCTCTGATTCAAGTGGCAGAATATCAGGTACACCCGAGAGCACCAGCGTGCCTCTCACGGGCCGTCTCGTCCTCTCCAGCTTATTTAGGATGACTTTTCTTTATTAGTTTGACTTTCCTTTTTGACATGAAATGTCTGTTCTTTTCATATTGTATATAATATTTTATGATGATTGATTTTTCAATTAAAATATAGACCATTAGTCAAGGAGATCTGGTATAAATTTTTTTAAGAGATGATTTTTGAAAATATCAGCTTTATAATGAAGTACATTTTTAAAAAATCTGGCACATCACTTACTTTTAGCGTTTTAGGCAAATCAACAGACCTATATGAGTTTCTTCTTTTATAACTACACTGCCTCTGGTAAGTATCAAAGAACGTAATATACATAATTATCCTTTGATGGACTACTAATGAGGAAGTCATCCTTTCTAGAGTAATATGTGCTACCTGTTATAGTTAGAGAAAGGTAAGTTATCCACCAAAACCAAAAAGAACCCTAACACTTTACAACCCCAAGGAAAACTTGGCCTCTCTTTAGACTATAAATGTTTTATTGACAAATAATGTGACTTTTGAAAAATTTAGATACTTAGCATTGTTTTAAATACAGTTTTGANCTTGGCCTCTCTTTAGACTATAAATGTTTTATTGACAAATAATGTGACTTCTGAAAAATTTAGATACTTAGCATTGTTTTAAATACAGTTTTGAAGTTTGCTAACTAACCATGAGGAGTTTGCTAACTACCTTTCCTTTCTGGGTGAAATAATCCTAAACACCAAACATAATTGATTGATGATTATCAAATAAACATACGAATCTATATAGACATTCTGAAAACAAGGATCACTAATTAGTTGAATTCGCTAAATTCAACTTGTTTATATATTATGCTTGACGAACAGTCATTTCAAAGTTAGAGTTAAAAAGAATTTTAATATCAAGTGTTTTTCTGTCACATTAGAATATATAGCAATACCCACCTTCTTTCCCCACATGGCACCGAATAGCTGGAGCTGAGGCTAGAGACTGGGCATGTACTGTTTTCCATAGTCCCCAATGCTTCCTTTAGTGTGCGTTAGGCCTAGTGCACGTATCTGTGCTAATTTCCTGGCAGTTGGCTTTGTGACTCTCTGAGTTCCTTTTTCATGTATTGTCTTTGACTCTGAAAGATATGTCCCTTACCACCAGCAGCCATCCCCAACACTGAAGTACTTGATAAATGCTGAATCTTCCTTGCAGACAGCTCAGCTAACACTTTCATTGGAAGATGGCCCTCATACCAGTTAGCAAGTATAAATCTGTATTTATTGGTAGTTGTACATCTTGTGTGAATTGTTGTAACTTTAGGTTCACTTGGATTTTCTGTGAAACTATGAATTTTCCACGAGCATACTCTCGTCTTTATAATTCCGGTACCTACCACGCAGCTAGAAGATCTACGGGTATCAAATGTTGGTCAGTGATTAAATGGCTAGAAACTGCCAGGGCTGGTCCTGTATCTCAGGCCCATGGACTCGTAGTCCAGGGCCACTTCACCGCTTATATTTTGTTTTGTCTTTGACATTATTAGTTCCTTCAGATTCAGTTATGTAACCTTATGAAGAGCAGCAAGGCACCCCTGTTGTGTGTCTCTTATCTTCTACCTTTGTCACAATATTTATATTGTTTTTGCCTGATTGTCTGTTGTCCTTTCCCATCAGAACTATGATTTCTTTTAATGAAAAAGGCCATGAAATGTTTATTTGTAAATTTCTATCACAGGGTAGAGATTCAGCAATGTTAGAATTTAGTTTAGTTAAACTAAATTAACATTTGGAGTTGATTTATTTGACTGAATTGTGGCTGTATAAAGCAGTTGAGTCGGGTCACTCATTATTCTTACTGCTCACAAGAGCTGGGTAGGTTTTAGAAAACTCCAACAGAAGGTCTTAACAAACAGGTACAGTGAAATCCAAACAGATGGTCAGCAGTAACGCCAAGCCATCCTTATTGTGACTCCTTAGGGAATTATTGTGGTGAGCCCACGCATGGATGTCGTCTGATAGCCAAGACACTCACCATTCACTGGGTTCGTTTTTAGGAGAGCCAAAAAATCAGCGACTGAGATGGTTCAGCTAGTTTACAGTGGGCAGTTTTATTTGGGTTGAATCAGTCAAGTGAGTTGGAGGATTTTAAAATTATTAATTTTGCTAAGTCCTGAATAACTTTTTAGGAAGACACATGTTTTATCAGTAGAAGTACAGTTTACTTTGTTTTCACCTGGCCTCGCTGACACAGAAAGATGCTGCCTCACGTGTTTTTGTGTTGTTGTTTTTCCTGTAGAAACCAGGTACAGTTTTATGCCTATCATTTAGATAATTTTTCTGTTGTTTTTCAAGTAACTATAAGTTTTCTGTACTTCAGTCTGCCTTTGTGGTTGTAGAAACATTAAGGAATGTAATAGCTATGGGGGAGCTTTTAAATAAAATTACGAAGTTCAGATTCTTCCTTGAAAACAATTAAACTGGAGTCCCCTCGGAGTAGATCAGGAAACAGATTTGCTGCATTAACAATAGAGATGAACAAACTCGACTCTCATTTAAGGATTTTCATTCTGTTCTGTGTACTTTTAATAAATTTCGAGTTGACATGCTTCTGGTAACACCAGATACCAGGTGTTTAGTAATAAGCTTTTTTTAATGTGATTCACTTAAAATGAGACATAGAAGCATGGAACCAACTGAGGAACCTCAGAGGGAAAGCAGGGGTGGGGACTGGGTGGGGAGAGATTAATCAGAGAACCTACGTACAAAAATGCAGAACTCAGGGGCACAGCCGACAGTGTGGGGAGGGCCTGCGGGGCGGGTGCCTGGGGGAGGGCATCAGTGGGGGGGGCACGCGACGTCTGTAATACTTTTGTTACCAGACAGGGTCCAGCCTGGAGAAGGTCTGCCTCAGGCCGGCCTGTAGTGTGTGGGCCCTTGACGTCCTGTAGGAAGGATTTCAGGACACCAGTCCAGACAGGTTTGAGAACGTGTTAATTAATGCTGGGGACAATGAAACTAAGGAAGAAATTAGGGCGGAAGAGACAACAGAGGAAAGCCTAGGCAGAGCTCCGCTTTGGCTCCCCGGAAATGCTGCAGGAAAGGAGTGAGCCCAGGCAGGGCTGCTTTAGCTCCCTGGGAATCAGAGAAAAGGGGGCCTTGGAGACAGGATTAATTAA